CAGCCAGCGTGAGCGGCCAGCAGCCAGCGTGAGCGGCCAGCAGCCGCAGTGAGCGGCCGTCCAGAAGCCTGCGACTGATCTGCCTCCCCCGAGAAGAGCGCAATGATGGTGCCAACTTGGGCCAGTGAAGCAACATCCTCCACAACTAAACTGAAGAACAAAAGGACAGCAACTTGTCTGTTCCCCTTCCCCAATTCCCCAATGCTGTTTTCCTCCCCCAATTCCCCAATAAAATCTTAAAAAATATATATTGTTTTAGTCTTTCACTATCTTGTATAATAATTTTATTTTTGTCCATATCTTTACATTTGTCTCCATGTATATATTATTTTATGCTTTTGACTTATCTTAATATATATGTCCATGAAGTTAATCTTAATATTAACTTTGTAGTTCAGTCCACATTTGGAAATTAAGTCAGAATTAGAATTTACTTCCTGTGTATTGAATAAATGAAGATAAAATACGTCTGAATAGAGAAGGCTAAATATTGTAAAATGTTGACATTCGTAAGTATACTGCATTCATAATCAATACAATACTAAACAACACCCAATATGACTATGGGGGTAATTAACTTGAAAAATGGATGTCAATATTTTACCTAGAATAAATAATGAGCTTAGTATTGTAAAGAAAGGATGAAAACAGAGAAACATGGAGGGACCAGCCATAGTAGTTATTAAAACATTTTAGTAAGCCACAGTATTGTAAAAGAATAGTTTTTCTAATCAGTGAAATAGAATAAATCACTCAGAAACAAGCCTTAGAATGTATGATAACTTCATTTGTGATAACGGAGGCACTGTTTATTTAGCAGGGAAATATACAATTGGTTGATAAATGATAATGGGATTATTAGAAAGCTACATTAGAAAAGTCAGTTTAGATAGTCATTCACTACACAATATAGACAACAAAATAATTTGAGATAGAATTAAATGTAAAAACTTGAACCAGAACTTTTGTTCTCACACATCCAAGATTTCATCACCACAAATATTTCTCTAATATTATCCCTTTATAATCACACCCTTCTCCCTCACTCTACCATTCATAATCCCTGGAAATCACTAATTTGTTTTTTGTTTTTTTGTTTTTTAAGATTTTTTATTAGGGACTTGGGGGGATGGGAACAGCGCTGGGGAATTGGGGGAAGGGGAACAGACAAGTTGCTGTCATTTTGTTCTTCGGTGTAATTGTGGAGGACG